GTATATATATATATATATATATATATATATAGTACAACCAGTGAATGGCCTGTGAAAAACCATGTACTTGCAATCAGCAACTACCTTCTATGATATATCATAACAACTAATGACCTGAAAGGGTTTCGTACTAACAAGTTCTACAACGTCAACATAAAGTATATATTTTTAGATCATTATTTTTCGAATCCCATTCCTCAAAACAAAAAAAGCACACCTAGAACTATTACATAACTGGGGCGTTTGTAGCAAAGTGAAAATGTAGCAACAAGCATAAACTTATGCACCTGAAGGGCAAACAGTAGTAAGTAAGGTATCTTACGATTGTTGATACTTTACATCTATTTACTCATTAAAATGTTGTTGAAGAATCATTTGAGATCTTCCTTAGCAGTATTTTTTTATACTGTTTGTCATTATATTCTTGATCCTACTTGCAGAACTTCTGGACTCTGTCTAAGAATTATTAGAACCCCAGTGGTATGGTTGGCGTTAATCACCAATTTCCGCTGGATCTTCTTCTGGAAGCACCAACAATTCGTTCTTTAATACCATTACTGTCTTTTCTCCTTGCGAGGAAGTAGCTCTTGTTGTCTTCGTTTTGGCTTTAATGGGTTTCAAGACGTTTAGAAACTGCTTAGTAAGCGTGTGTAATCTACAGGTCTCGACAACCTAGCACTTATTTGGCATTATCTCAAAGCCCTATAATCTGTTTGTTCAAAAATTAGCAGCGGTACTGTTGATTGTTGTCTTGGAGTTCTTTGAAAACTAGTATAAACTTCGTGCTCTTGTTAATTGATTTGGATGCAATGGCAATACCTACTATACAATAAAACTTAGCTTCTGGGTCAACAAAGAATGATTCACTTTGTTCAAAATCGAGCATCAAGCGTTTTTATTTTTTTTTCCTAGAATTATTCGTTATTTTACATTATCTGCACTAAAAACCACTACTCTTTGTTGGATGCAAGTTCATATACTTCTGCTCGGACAAAAAAAAATGTAGTGAGAGGAAAAAAAACAAAAAACAAATTTGAATATATAAAACGTCATGATCCCACGCCACAAATAAGTCCTTTGGACGGCACCAGGAAGGTTTCTTGTCATCTCTTTGTTGTCACACAGACATGAGAAATAGGTATCTGAATTAAGTTCAGAATATAAACAATGTAACAGAATTAGTGTAAAGTAAAAGAACGAATAAAATGACGTTGATAAATAAAAATGTTTCATTCACAATGAAAATAAAATGAACTAAATTCACATATATAATGAAACAATATAAGCAAACGACATATAGCAAAAGTTTGTTTGTTTGTAATTAAGCAAAAAGCTACATAACGGACTATCTGTGCTCTACCCACCACGGGTATCGAAATCTGGTTTCTAGTGCTGTAAGTCCGCCGATATACCGCTGTGCCACTGAGGGCAGTAGCAAAAGTAAACCAAATCTTAATACTATTTTCCAAAATTAAACAAAAAAAAAAACAACTACAAGTTAATCAAACCAAACTTCATAACAAAACTTAACTTGTTCATACAAAATTAAATAAAGCAAAATAAAACAACCTTCAATGAGAGAAAACAAAAACGACTTAACATATTTAAGAACTAAGATAAACGAAACTTTCATTGTTTATTACTTGTCCATTGAATACAGTAAAACGGTAATTATACTGATAAATAGGACGATGCATGAGCAAAATATATATAATATTAAACGATCTTAGGCACCTCGTTACTCCTAAACTTACATATAACCCAAAATCTTGAGTTCATCTCTAACCTATCTTCCACTTCTGTTGCATGGTTCAATTATACCTGCTTTTAGAAACCGCACTGGTCTATAAGAAACAAATAAACAATGAACCTATTAATGGTCCAAAGATCTTACAAAGATAAAAGAGCAGTCATACCGAAGACCAGGATAACGGATGCCTTAAAGAATCAGTGTCAAATATTGCAAACGTTCTTAAAGCAACAATGGATTATGATAATATATTACTGTTGATTTTTACTCCTTTAACTCTACATAGAGTGGAATCGTGCAAAAGGCCCATGATATTAAAACTACTTATATCAAGAGTTTTCAAATAACACAAAAACTCGATCCTCTGACTTCCTAGACGTGAGTATCAACAAGGCTCTCACCCTCTCACTGGTAAACATTAAATACAGGAGATTGACTACTTTACATTTAAACGGTTTTTGATATGCAGATAAGTAAATCACATGAGAACTACAGCCGATATAGAGTGGTAATGAAATGACATATACATCAGAACTATATTTTAACATTTTTTATGTTACGTAGGTTGTGTGATACCACCGAAAACTGATTGATTTTGGGAAAGCTATGCGTAAAAGCGCTTTTCGACGTAAAATATTCATACCCTCAGATCATAAAGATGTATTCAGATTGGAGATTTACAATTTTCAGGACGGGGATATCACTTTTACTTAATGGCATTGTAATACAAAGGAATATCGATCAGCTTGGGGCACAAAGATCTTCCAGAAAGAGACCTGAAACAAGTCGCACCCCAATTGTGGTAGGCAAAGTACAACATTTTGTAACATATGAGAATCATGAACTCAAAGGTCAGTAACAAAAGTCGTCCAAGTGGTCCAGGAAACAATAAGCAACATAATTAAGAAGGATCTCCATCTGGAAAAGTAACACAAGTTGTTTCCATGACATATCCATTCAAGCTTTCGAGTATTCATGTTATTCAATATAAAAGGGTATTGGGCAAGTCACTGGAGTTCTGTGTTATCGAACTGTTGAAATGAGTGTTGCAAAACTGTCATCCTCGTACAATAGATGGGTTATGGAATGCATACAGGAAAAAGTCTTACTTCGCTACCTTTTGAACAGGAAACTATGCTTTAGGGCTATTATCAAGACGAACTGTCATTAGATAGAGCATGATCGGACGTGGAAACTTGAACTGTAACGTTAATATAACATACTCAGCCTCTGTATACACTTAGTGGTTGAGTAGAAAATAAGTGAATTTGAGATTTGCCAACAACGGGATGTAAGATTTTTATTTTAATCTATATTATTATAAACATCCATTAAGACAGAAGTAAACCTTAATGTTTATGCTATTCGTAGTACTTTAAAATGTTATAATCTCAATATTATCGGTACCGCAGAACAAAGCAAGTACCCGTCGTCTTTTTTAAATGCTCCCCAGTGGCACAGCGGTATTTCTGCGGACTTATACCACTAGAAACCGGGTTTCGATACCCGTGATGGGCAGAGCACAGATTGCCCTTTGTATAGCTTTGTGCTTAATAACAAACAACAACAATTTTCTTAAATGACATTCGAAAATAAAACATTCACGAGTCCGCTTAGTGTTCGAAGTACATACATCCAAAGATAATCACAACAGATTTAGAAGATGCTACGCTAAAGATGTTAAACCAAACTAGTGACATTTTGAAGCTAAACAAAATGATTATATAAATCTTGATGTGTACTAATACAATTATATTTCAGGTAAGAGGAGGACCTAATACGTATACTATGATAAAACATAATGAATTAATTATACACATAACTAAGGAATGGTATGATAATCTATGATAGAACATAATGAATTAATTACACACATAACTAAGAAATGGTATGATAATCTATGATAGAACATAATGAATTAATTACACACATAACTAAGGAATGGTATGATAATCTATGATAAAACATAATGAATTAATTACACACATAACTAAGGAATGGTATGATAATCTATGATAAAACATAA